AGTCTATAAAGTCTAGTTTAGTGTTTTTAAGTCCTATTTGTGTTGATTAGCATCCCTAGTTAATCCCCGGTCTAGAACGATCCCTACTTACATATCTACTACAATTGTCAATAATAGGGTTTAATTTGTGTGTCAAGTTATTTTCACATCACCTAAGAAACAAAGCAACACGACTAGCTCTCATCTGCAACGGTTAGCTTTGGAAAGACTTGAAGATAATAAAAAGCCTTCTAGAAAGAAGGAGACAACGCTGAAGGAAGAAAAGCTCGATGAGCTAGCAAAAAAAGGCGGCGTTCGAAGCTTGATTCCTTCAAGGATGAAGTGCCAAGCAATCTTGGAGGTTGACACAAATAGACCACTGAAGGTAAAAAGGCCCACCATCATCCACACCAAACAATCTTCATGCCAACAAGCTTGAAAAGACATCACTGAAGAGGAGGTCCGAGATGTCTTCCACATCACGATCCAATAGGGCAAAGAAGACGAAATCCCCAAAGAAGATGTCACTGCTGCACCACCACAACTAGAAGATAGGGGGCAAGCCACGGTTGATGATCTCAAGGAACTCAACTTAGGCACAAACGAAGAACCAAAGCCTATCTTCGTAAGTGCATTATTAAGTGCGGACGAGATAGATGAGTATTACCAGCTGCTATTAAAGTACAAAGATGTCTTTCCTTGGACCTACAAAGAAATGCCCGGCCTTGACCTTTTCATCGTTGTGCATCATCTTGCAGGCAAGCCTAGAATGCGACCGGTAAAGCAAACTCAAAGACACTATCGATCCGAGCTCATCCCACAAATCGAGGCCGAGATTGACATGTTAATTGAAGTAGGCTTCATTCGAGAGGTGCAGTACCCCAAGTGGATCTCCAACATCATCATTGTCCTTAAGAAATCTGGACAAATATGTGTTTGCGTAGACTTTCGGGACCTCAACGACGCTTGCCCGCAGGAAGACTTCCCCTTGCCAATCATCGAAATCATGGTGGAAGCAACCACTGGCCATGAAGTATTATCATTCATGGACTACTCTTCTGGATACAATCAAATTCACATGGCCCTCGAAGACGAAGAACTAACAGCCTTTCGCACTCCAAAAGGTATTTACTGCTACAAAGTGATGCCTTTTGGTCTGAAGAACTCTGGAGCTACATATCAACACGCAATGCAGAAAATCTTCAATGACATGCTACACAAAAGCGTAGAATGTTACGCAGATGATATGGTGGTCAAGACAAGTAAAAGATCAGATCACCTGAAGGATTTGCGAATAGTGTTCGAAAGGCTGCGAAAATACAACCTAAAGATGAACCCGTTAAAGTGTGCATTTGGCGTCATCTCTAGAAAGTTCCTCGGCTTCATTATCAAGAACCGTGGTATTAAAGTGGACCAATCAAAGATCAAGGCCATTCAAAGCAAACCTGAGCCAAGAAACCTGTAAAAGCTGAAAAGTCTACAAGAATGGCTAACCTTCATCAAACGCTTCATCTTCAACCTCACAGGGCATTGTCAACCATTAAGTCAACTCATGAAGAAGGATGTTCTGTTCGTATGGGACGAAGCATGCCACAATGCTTTTGAAAGCATAAAAAAATATTTATCAAGTCCACCTGTCCTCGGGGTGCCTGTGCTCGGGAAACCGCTTGTATTGTAAATCGCTGCTCATGAAAGTTTAGTTGGAGCACTCTTGGCACAAGAGATTGAATCCCAAAAAGAAGGAGTGTTTTACTACCTCAGTTGAACACTCATCGGTGTCGAGTTGAACTACTCCCCAATAAAAAAGATGTGCCTTGCCTTGGTGTTCACCATTCAGAAGCTCAGACATTACATGCATACTTACACCATCCACCTGGTTGCTAGAGCTGACCCGGTCAAATACGTCATGTTCAAACCAGCCTTGACAGGTCAACTCGCTAAATGGGCTTTGCTTCTTAATCAAGATGAGATCATCTACGTCCCAACTAAAGTCGTCAAGGGACAAGCGCTAACAGACTTCCTTGCTGATCACCCAATCCCAGCTAATTGGAAAATCTGAAACGACTTTCCTGATGAGGAGGTGTTCTACATCAACATCTTCCCGACATGGACGATGTCTTTCGACGGATCCGCAAAAGTAGACGGAGAGAGGGCAGAAGTAGTATTCATGTTGCCACGAAGGCAAATACTACCTTATTCGTTCCAACTAAGCGAATTATGCTCCAACAACGTCGCTGAGTACCAAACACTAATCATTGGGTTCCAAATGACATTCAAGATGGAAATTACAACCCTTTAGGTATATGGCGACTCCAAGCTCATAATTAATCAACTTTTGACTGAATATGAGGTGAGGAAAGATGATCTCGTCCCATACTTCTGGCTAGCAACTCAATTGCTACAAAAGTTTAAGGCCATACCACTAGAACATGTGCCAAGAAAAGAAAATCAAATGGCAGACGCTCTCGCCAACCTAGCCTCGAGTATAACATTAGGAGAAGACGAAGCTGCAGACGTGCCAGTTTGCCAAAGATAGGTGATCCTGCTTGTCACTAAAATGCTACTGGACGATGCAAATGTCATCTTAGTACTTCCAGTCGATGCTAAAGAGTGGAGACAACCGTTGATTGACTATTTGGAGCATGGTAAGCTACTAGATGATCCTAAACAGCGCTCTGAAATATGTTAACGAGCACCTCGATTCCTCTATTACAAAGGAACACTCTACTGGTGTTCTTTTGAAGGAGTACTTTTGAGATGCCTAGGTGAGGAAGAAACTAATCAAGCCACGGAAGAAGCACACTCAAGCGTATGCGGGGCACATTAGTCTGGACCAAAGCTACATTTCCAACTCAAAAGAATGGGTTACTACTGGTCAAGCATGGTGAAGGATTGTCTGGAACATGCCAAAAGGTGCCAAGCCTGCTAATGCCATGGCAACTTTCTACATTAACCGCCTGAACCATTACACCCTACAGTTGCTGCATGGCCGTTCAATGCATGGGGATTGGACGTCGTAGGGCCGATTGCACCAAAGTCATTTGCAAGAGAAGCTTACATCCTTGCTGCAGTAGATTACTTCTCCAAGTGGGCTGAAGTCATACCCCTAAGGGAAGTCAAGAAGACAACTGTCGTCTATTTCATCAAGGAACATATCATTACCCGATATGGTGTGCCTCACTACATCATCACTGACAATGGAAAACAGTTCTCCAACTGACTCGTGGATGAGCTCTGCGACAAATACAAATTCAAACAACACAAGTCTTCCATGTATCATGCTCCGACCAACGGTCTTGCAGAAGCATTCAACAAAACATTGTGCAACCTTTTGAAGAAGGTGATCGGCCGAACAAAGAGAGATTGGCACAAGAGAATAAGTGAAGCACTTTGGGCATATAGGACGCCACATAAGACTCCTACCCCAGCTACGCCTTATTCTCTCGTGTATGGCGTGGAAGTTGTCCTACCTGTCGAAAGTCAAATCCCCTCACTAAGGATGGCTATACAAGAAGGCTTGACTGATGAAAGAATGCAAAGTTGCGTCTTCAAGAGCTGGAAGCGCTGGATGAGAGAAGGCTCGAAGCTCAGCAGCACTTAAAGTGTTATCAAGCACGACTCTCCAAGGCTTTCAACAGGAAAGTTCACCCTCATTCTTTTCAGGTGGGAGATCTTATCCTTGCATTGCGTAGACCTATCATCACAACTCACAAGCCAAAAAGCAAGTTCACATCAAAGTGGGATGGACCTTACGCAATACAAGAAGTCTACACCAACGGTGCCTACTTAATCATGGCAGAAGACGGATTGAAGATCGGCCCCATCAATGGTAGATTCTTGAAGCGCTACTACCCCTAAAACAAACACACCATGCTCGTAGCCTGTAAGAGCATAAACTGCATACAGCACATAAAAAATATATGAATATACCAAAAAGAAAAAAAAATGTATTTAAACTACGTTATGACTTGATCTCTTCTTTGGAAGAGTACGTAGGCAGCTCGAACATTCAACTTCGAGTTCAATCACATCGAAATAAAAAATAAGGTTTTATTAAAGGCTCGATTAATGAAAGTCAATTTCATTACAATATATATATATATATATATATATATATATATATATATATTTGATGACTTGATATCACATCGAAATAAAAAATAAGGTTTTATTAAAGGCTCGATTAATGAAAGTCAATTTCATTACAATATATATATATTTGATGACTTGATCTCTTCATGGGAAGGGTATGTAGGCAGCTTGAACATTTAACTTTAAGTTCAGTTACATCAAAAAAAAAAAAAAAAAAAAAAAAAAGGTGTACATTTTAAAGGGATTCTTTCTACACTTAAGACGACCCGAGCCAAATCAAAGAAAACCAAAGTTGAGATCCACAAAAAGAGCAGCCCAAATGCCGGGCCCATCCCTTCTCAAACATACAATTGTTTTGAGCTTGCTGTGCAAGGAGCTCTATTTCTTTTCCCTCCACGCCTAGGCCCGGCTCTTAAAACCCAATCCGCATTTTCTCCTCCATCTGTGCCTTCGACCTGCAGCTCACCACACGCCATGGGCCGGCTCAGTGCCATCATCAATTCTACTCCGTAGCAGAACCTCGCCAAATTCGTCACCATCTTCATCATCGCTAGCCACCCAACACCAAAAGTTGCAGTTAAGAATGGTCCTACATCACTGGAGATTTCAACAAAAGGCGCTGATCAGATTCAAACCAATCTAAAAAAGAAGAGCGATTGCATGGGTGTCTAAAGAAGTTTGGAAGTTCGATTCGCATGGGGAGCAACGCCTACTCATCGTGCGCAAAAATGGTTCGAGGTTTTTAAACAAGGCAATAGCAGCCATGGATGTACGAATGCGCCACCGAGAATCTCTGCTCCTACTTCGTCCGTTTCCTGAAGGCCATAATAATTTCCTCTTCTTCGTCGAGGCCACCATGCTTGCCTTTGAAAATCAACGTGGCACCCCTTTGCGAGCTTAACATGCTCAAGAACCGTACTAGGTCTACAATGGCTGGGGCTCTCGGTGGCTTCAATACACATGCCAGATACATCATCTCTGCAATCTACATCACTGCCTACCAAGACCCAGCTCAGAATGTGGAGAGATCTCACTACATTACCGTGATGGAACCCATCAACGGTGGACAAGATCTTCACGTGTCTGTCACCATGCCTTCCATTGAGTTTGGTACGGTTGGAGGTGGGACACAACTTGCATCGCTGTCCCAACTTGTCTGAACCTGCTTGGAGTGAAGGGTGCTAACAGAGAACCACCAGGATCTTGGCCATCAGCGCCGTCATCGGCTCTGGCAGCCTTCTCTTCTTTCAGCAACAACCTCTGCAACACGGTTGCGATCGTCCGGAATCCACCATGATCCCTTCACTTCCCACAAATGCGAGCCGCGACGTCTGCTCCCTTGTCTGCAAGCATTGTCTCGCTCTCAAGCGGCCTTGAGCACTTTCAGCTCGCCCAAGCTTCATCATGTTTCTCCGTCATCCTCAACACCATGGCACACTTAGCTGTAAATCCAAATGACGTCGCAGACACCAGCACCGCCACAGGTATTCCGTAACTCCTCCTTGCTGTTGAAGTAGACCAAGTCACCATCTCCTCTGCTTACGTCGTTCGTAGTATCAGCCTGCTGTCAACTCCTTCTCCCCAACCGCATCGGCAACATTAGCACGGGCAACGCGCTTCTTGACTCAAAGCTCAGCAACGGTAGTGCAACAGCCCTCGTACAGCAGCCCTCATGCAGCAGCAAACAGTGGCAAAACACAACAACGTCACCTCCAAGGGAAAATTGTGACAAAAGGCACTACACAGCAAAATATCGTTGCAGTCTTTTGCACAGCATCGCACGGTAGCACACCACCGAGGAAAAATAATGACCAAAAGGCACTACACAACGAAGCCCTGCTGCAGTCTTTTGCACAGCACCACAAGGTAAAAAGTGACGCACTGCAACAAGGTCCAAGCACCAAGACTCATGGCAATGTCACCATTGAGGGAAAACTGGGACCAAAAGGCACTAAACAACGTAACAACGCTGCAGTCTTTTGTACAACACCACACGGTAAAAAGTGACACACTGCAACAAACAACAAACTCCCAGCTCCAAGCTCGACTCCAGCTCTCCGCCCATCTTCGTCCTTCTCTGAAAACTCTCACTCCATCCCCTATATATATATATACACATACATATATTATGTATATGTGTGTGTATATATATATATACATATATTATGTATATATATTAAACTAAAAAAAAAACAAAAATGAGGGTGCGTCGATGGTGCCTCAGGCACCAAGTTAAAAAAAAAATATTTATATATATGTATATGGTGGAATCTTGGTGGACGGCACCATGAAAAAAACAAAAAAGAAGAATTATAAAGGTTATGGTGTGTGCTCCTATTAGCAAGTCAAAAAAAAAAAAAAAGGGTGGTGGCGACAAAATAATTGAAAAGTAGAAAGTAGGGGAAGGATGGTGCATCAGGCACTAAAAAAAAATAAAGGGAAGTAACACATCTTAGTGAGATATATGCTTTATTTGTACTTAACACAATGCATTGAATAAAATAAAGCTCGTCTATTGATATCTCTGGAAAATTACAAATATGTACACAAAAAAAAAAAAAACAAAAAAAGGAAAGAAAGAAAGAAGAAGGAGCCTTCACAAAAGTTGCTCATGTGACGCTTCAGTACTTGGCAGAACTCCAGGAAGAAGAGACACTGAAGGTTGATTATTCGGGGCCCAATACTTGGTTAAACTTCAGATGACGAATGCAAAAAGTGCCTCTGGAATGCAGCCACAAACCTCTGATGGTGACTTTGAATCCAACCTTCGGAGTCCTGCAGCTGATCAAGCTTCCTTTTCATGCTCGTCGAATAATTATTTGCAAGCATGTGCCAATCTCTATTCTCGCGCTTGAGCTATCTAATCTCTTGTTTAAGATTTGCCACCTTGGTAGTCAATGATTCAACTTGGTGAGTTCGAGCAAGTAGACGTTGACCCATATTAGACACAGAGCCCGCACATTGGACATTAAGAGCCAGGGAGTCTTGGACAGCCAACTCATTGGACCGTCTTGAAAGCAGCCTATTATCTCTAGGAGTAAGGAAGTTCCTAGCTACTACCGTAGCCGTTGTTGCATCCCTCATCATGGAGTCTTCAATTGTAAGAGGGCCATTCGAAGATAAGCAGGATGGGCGCCTTATATTACCCTAAGGAGGCGTGCCTGTATCGCTTCTGAGACTTAAATCTAAGCAAATGTTAGAAGGGTAAAATCTCAGAAATACACCAGAGACAATTTTCATGAGCGGGCAATCTTCAAAGTGTGCATGTTGGATGTGATCGATACTTCTATAAAAGGAGAGGCAACACAACCACCAATTCAAAAATCGAAGAGACACCGCTCTATGAATTTCAAAAGCTGGATTGTCCTGCATAAAATCCGTTAACACTTTTTAGATGCGACCTCAGCTTGTCGGATAACACGTGCAACTTTGAAGTTCACTATTCCAACTACCACACTTTTGCCGACAAGCGTGGGTGACAAGGCCGTACCCGCACCCCTACTTGCTATTGGAAAATCCCTATATATGTCAACCTTCATCCTCCATGGCAAGACACAATTCCAAAACACCTGACTCTTCCTCCTTGCCAAGAATGCACCTGCAACTAAACCTCTCAACATACTCAGTTTTCTTCCCCCTTGAAAACACCTCTTCAACCAGGTCACACCAGAGCAAACGTATCTCATATCATTAGGGTCGAAAGTAAGAGTATCTCATAGCATGCCTTCACCATGTCCTTTTCTTTGTTCTTGTTCTTCCCTGCAGGACCAAGAGAAAGAGAGCGATCAGTTGGCACTTGAAATCAAGCTTCCCGTTAGGAACCAACTGCCTGGAACCACTTCTCTGATTGCTTACCTAGCATCACTCTCGATTACTCATCTTTAACTGCTGATGTACTTCCAGATAAGATACCAGATGCCTGGAGAACAGATAAGGCAAGCAAAAATGACACATCGAAGCATGTGGAGACAAGCGCAACACATACATGTGCTGATCATCTACCACTTGTTCAAAAGCAAAAGTATCTCATATCATCAGGGTCGAAAGCAAAGGTATCTCATATCATGCTTTTTCCCTGTCTTTTCCTTTGCCCTTACTCTTGCCTGCAAGACAAGGAGAAAGAAAGCAATCAGTCGGAACCTAAAATCAAACTTCTGATCTGGAACTGATTGCCCGAAACCTTTGCCTTGTTGCTTACCTAGCATTGCTCTCGAGTGCTCGTCTTCAACTGTTGGTGGGTCTCGAATTTCCTCAGCGAATACTCCAAGGACAGTTGATATGATGTTGGCTATTTACATTGAAGCTGCCAAGCATGGATGAGTCGCTGAGAAGTGATGCTCTGAAGGACCATTTAAATGCAAAAGGTTGCGCATCATTTCTACCATGCAAAAGAAACAAGCAAAGAAGAATGCAACATGATGAGCTGTAACAAATCACTATAGCACAATGCCCTTCTCTGCAGAATCGCATAATCTAGACGGAGGAGTCTAAGTCAAATCCAAGCTCCACATCATTGCTCTAATCGAAGAGCTTGAGAAGTCTTGATGGCCCATCAAGAAATCACAAGTCCGATTCAAAATCAAGTGTCCACCACCTTTGAATCAAATTAAGCTCCACATAAAAGGAGTAAATTTAGACATTTGGTGCAAGTCTGGCAGAAGAAACCCCCCAGCTCAGTTTAAGAATAAGCCTGTGGAAAGTCAACAATTGGAGGAAACCTGAAAATCCTCCAACCCAGTTCAAGCTCAAAGCTGTAGAAAGTCAATAAGCACAACAAAATACGTGCTGATTCATCCACTACCAAATCCAAAGATCATATACCACCTTGTAGTCCAATTTCATTCAAGATCAAGTCTCGATGACCCTTGAAGAAATTTCACACAAAATTCAAGAACAAGCCTCAACGGCACTTGAAGAAAACTTTCAGCCCAATTCAAGATCAAGCCTCAATGGCCCTTGAAGAAATTTCCAGTCCATTTCAAGATCAAGCCTTGAAGGCTTTTGGATCAACATCTACAATAAGGGACTTCAAAGTGCATCTCTTACATGTGACAAACACATGTATACGACACGCCTTGAAGTGGGGGCATTTGTAGACATCGAAATTTCAGTGAAATAAATATTGACCAGTGCATTAAAATTACAACCTCCATTCATTTCATCTACATCATCCACCTCCACTCATTTCACCTACATCATCTACTTACTTCACCACAAAAAAAAAAAAAAAAAGGATGGTGGTGGTTCATTCTGAAAGTCTATAAATAGGCTTCTCCATCAAGGGATCAAAGGTGGAATTGACATCTACATTTCTCTACTCCCAAATTGGAAGAGAATTCCCCAAATCCTTGAAGCATTGAAACTCTTAAAGCTTTCAAGCATCCAACCTCCCAAATTCCCAAGAATCCCGAAGGATCAAGAAAGCTCTCTTTGTTCTTCGTCAAATCCTTGAAGAAATCCACACAACTGTTTATCAAAATCAAGCCCAGAAGGCCCTTAAATATCCGTTCATCCTCGTTCATCAAGATCAAGCCCAACGGCCCTTGAAGAAATCCACACAACTGTTCATCAAGACCATGCCCCAAAGGCCCTTGAAGATCCTATTATCGTCGTTCATCCTAAGATCAAGCCTCGACAACCCTTTGGATCAACAACATCAACAAATCTGCACCACTGTTCATCGCTAGACTAAGCCCTGACGGCCCTTTGGATCAACAGCTCATTCACAAATCTACACCTTACGAAGATAGAATCAGAGGATCAAATTGTAAAAGAGATTGTAACCCTAAAATTAATACAAAATATATTTTAAAGATGTGTTCTTGTTTCATTCATCGTAGGAATATTCGTGTTTACATTAATTTTCTTGGTTAAATATTCATGGTTTAACTGATATGTGCTAAATTATAGGCCAAATGGCAATTAAGCTTGACTTAGAAAATGCTTATGACCTTTTATGTTGGAAATTCATCAAAGCTACTTTAGGGCAATTTAGTTTCTATCGTACTTGGATTGAGAGAGTTATGGAATGTATTTCTTCTAGCTCTTCCTCAATTCTTTTGAATGAACTCCTAATGGATTTATCCTTTTTAGATGTTATTGTTGAGAAACAATTAGAAATTGAGAAAAGGGTCGAGTGAGCTCTGCTATTCGACATCTATTCACGAGATTCTATTCTTGAGAAGAGGCTACCAAACAAAATGGTTCAACTTATACCCAATGGATACAGCTTTGTCGGAATTCAGCCATCCAGAATATCTTTACTTTATAAAGAATTATGGGACGCACCACAGCTTGCCTATCAGGGACTAATGGAAGCAATCTATCATAAATTCTCGGGATTATGGTTAATTGACTAAGAGTGTATGAGGTAGGCA